CTCTCTCTCTCTTCTCGATCCCAAATCATATTTACTCTAGTCGCCCACGGCGATGTGTGCAACCGTTCACTATTTTCCATATCAATTCAACGAACGTATTCGAGAGAAGCAACCAAGACACATACATGAACTCAATACACAGAGCAAATGCACAAGCATTAAACTGCATAAATAAACAGACGAATTGATTTTAATAACCACATATTGTCATTCCATATTGATGCTGCCATTTGTAATATAAAAACAGACTAGGGGAATGGAATGGTATTGTAATTTTGCATGCGATACACATTATTTGCGGAGATTAATACAGATTCCGTTATTTAATATTATTTTTCGATCGCATCTGGATTGGCTTTTTCTTGCATTTTTTGAACAAAGAAAAAGAAAAGCGGTATGATTTAGAGGTTTTTGGGAACATTCCCCCAATTATAGTGTGCATTGTTGAAGAACTGATACTCAATGTGAAAAAATTGATGCGTAATGCAAGTTTTATACTTATTTTTTTTCAGTTTTTTCGTGAAGAAATGCATGATAAATGATTTTTTTACGAAACCACTAGCAAAACTATGTCCACAAAAGTTCAAACACATTTTTTAAATATCTATGAGCTGTTAAAGAAATTGCTCTATCTTCAATTTGAAGATGATTGCAATCAGTGCGAATATATTTTGAACGACAAATGTTCAACTTTAATTTTGATTTCGCATGGAAATATGCATAGTATCGACTATAGAATGCAATTATATTGCAATCTGCTATGTAATGAAAATGAAAATGATCGATTTTCAATTTCGTGTGATGAAATATGGTTTCAAGTGGAAATTTGGACGTATCATTTGAGGGTATCTTGCAATACTTCCGGACTTTTTTTAATATCAAAATCTAATTTAAGTGTTATTAGATGTTGGGAATAAATCTTGGCAAAAAAGCAACAAAAAAATGCAACAATGTTTGTCATTTGGTTTCTCCCAAGGTGTAAATGTGTCCGATGTGCTGCATGCTTAAAGTGGATTATTTTATCATTTATTCCGATTGGAGATGTATCGAGTATCAAGTCGATGTTATCAACTGATGAAAATCATTTGCGATCTCATCTGAAAATGAGGTTATAGCCAATTATATAGTTTCGGTGTGACTGGGTGGAAAATGGCATTTTACTGTCAATCTGCGAATCGAATCGATTGGCGTGAATATCAAAATTGTACATTTAGATTAACATATCAATCATGAAAATTATTTGCAATGATTTGGTCATCATTTGGTTGCAAATCGAAATGATTTTTATAGAATACGTAGCCAAAATGATTCAAAGGGATGATTTGTGTGAATTTGCATCTCTCTCTCTCTTACTTTCACCATAAAAAAACTAAAATCAACAATCAGCAATAGAGCGCTGGACGTTTCGTATGCAAAATATGCAGAATAACAAAGCATTTGCATTCTTTTCATTGCGTGTACATTTATTTATCCGCTGATTCCGATGAGGTGCAGCTATTTTCCGCTCTAACAATACAAATTACGAATGCGTCAGTGTGTATTTTGAATTCTTTTCAAGCCTCGGTCTCTCTGTCTCTTTCTCTCTTTTTATCTCCGCCGCGTCCGACCGCCTGCCCGCCACCACCATCATCATCATCAATACCACTGCCACCGCCATTGAACACACAATGGAAACGCTCATCACGGCTGATGCGTATAGATGAAATAGAATGATAGTGAGTGGCGCGCAAATTTCACCCTTTTGTATGTTGATTGTGCGAAGAAAACGTGACAGGATTGAATAAGTTTTTAAATATTTCACATCGACATAATATTATTGTTGTTCTTAACAACGGCGGCATCATCGCGTTATTCGGTCACATACAACGATGATGCCAACCAGTCAACAAATGTGCTCTGTTTGTTACGTTCCTAGTTGAGCAAAAAGAAAAAATTATATTCATAGAGGAAAAATATGCTTAGCATCAGAAAATAAAAATATGTATAACCAATTATTATTGGAAGATTTTGAATTTGATGCACAAAATTAGTTTCAATTGGTTTAAATTTAGAACAGCCATCAATAATGTCAAGGAACACTTCATTCTTTTATTCAAAAACAAGCGAATCAAAACTCATAACTCTGAAAAAAGACGAAGTCAGAATTCTCAAAAAATTGGTTGTATCGCTTTAAAAATAGATCAGAACAATGAAATCCACACAAAAAAAACAGAACTCATTCATTCAGGCATATAATTTGTCATTCCTTCATGGAAAACTCAGCAATTTGTCATTCAATCCATTCATTCATGTTTGATGAGCCGAAAAATGTGACAAAATCACTTCCGGTACGGAGCAACTCATCGGCCTATCAGATGTGCAAAGGGTGTTAAATATAGATTTTAACCAAAAATTTCTCTTTTTTTTTGCCGAAATCACATCCCCAGCCAATTTTTCGTTTGGGTTCTCTGGAAAATGTGGAGTATTTAATGCTTTTCACCTTTGAATTGATAATTTGAAGTTAGCAAAAGACGATTTTGCATCGTTTAGGAATTTCCAAATGAATGTTTTTAAACGAATTCAATTCGGCGATTTTCGTTAACGTCAAGAAAATTGGCTCAAATTGCGAGGCGAACGTAATATTGGGAGAAAATCATCATTTTTGATACAAAAAGAGTGTTTAAGGTTTGATTCTTCTTTCAATTTTGATGCTATGACTTAAACTGAAAGTAGTTGTTTGTCTCAATAAATTGCTGGTTCTATGAACCCAATCAATATCGCTTTGATTGCAATATAAATTGAAAAACCGGAAATATGTTAAAACAGCTATTCCTCCTGTTGAAAGGAAATTGTAATGCAATGCAAAAAAGGGCCATTGTTTGGCCGCTTAATTGCATTATTTGCAGTAACCGCAAACACAATGGTCGCAAAGTACATTCATTTGAATGTGGATGGCAATTCTTGTTTCACATTTCGTGTTTGATCCACACACACACACACATACTAATGTGTCACGAATCTATCACGTCGAAGGACGTTCGCTGTTTCGAATTCAATTCCGACTTTTTCTTTACCATCTTAACATCTTCATTCATGTTTTATTTGGAGTTGATAAGAAAAAAAAATTGAATGGTTCAAACGAAGCATTGAGTCTATAGACATCCTGATGAACTCGACACATTTTTAATCCGATTGACTACTCTTTCCATTTCTCCTTCTCTGTGTTTGACTGTCGCTGCCTTACTGTCTGATGCTGGGCTATTTGTTTAAACAAACAAACAATCGCATAATAATTACATTTAAATTTGCCACGTGTATCCTATCACCATGTTCATTGTTTGCCACTTTTTTCGGGCTGATGTGTCGCTGTCGAACAATGGCATACGCTTTTCATTCGACACACAATGGCCAGAAATAAATACAATAGACACAACAATACGTTCGAAATACGTGAGTTCCGAAGTTGTACATACATAGAGAAAAAAAGGCGAACCGAGCGCATAATTTCAATAAATTCCATTTTTTTTTGCACTCAATTTCCATTTCGAATTCGTGAACACAACAAAATAAAAACTGCAAACTGGTTGCAGTTCATTTGATTTATTGTGAACTTCATATTGCTGTGTGTTCCATTTTTTATCCAGAAAAAAAGTGGCCATTGTCTGCTCTTTTTTCGGGGCAAGTGTTAAGCCGTTTTATTCTTTGACGTGCTCTAAATAAATAATTATATGAAAAAAAAGAACATTCAACTTTTGACTCACAGAAATCCCCTGTTCAATCAGAAATTTGGTTGGAAGGTTTGACATTTCAGACTGAAATTGCGAAGAAATTTATACATTCAGTAAGCAATAGGATGGACCGATTTTAATTGCAATTCCGTATTAAATTGATATCAATTTCAGTATGAACGAAGGAAGTAAGCTATTTTGTGGAAGAGCAGTGACTGAAATGCCCACCATTGACAGTTGAAGATACATGATACACATAAAATGCGTTTTTGACACAAATGAACCATTTTCGAAATATTCTTCACCATTTTTCATAGCTCTTTGTAAACCTTTGACATTGTTTTTTAAATTCAGATTCTAAGCTTAAAGAAATTGACATTATAATGTTTACGAATTTCTCACCGATATTTGACCATTGATACAAGTCACATTTGGCAGCCTTTCTGATCATGAAAATAGTAAACAATACAGCGCCGCCTGGAGACTAAGTGTAATCTATCATACTTTCAACGTTCGAACTAACACAGACGCGTACTTGTTACAGCAAACTATGTGCATGATTCTCAATTTCTCGAACCAGTCTCCAGGTGCCGCTTCATTTTTCTCATTTGACGTCTCCTATCTGTTTGTACAGACGATCAGAGAGACTGACATTTGGTTCAAGTATATTGTGAGATCATTGCATACGCCAAGAGATCAACAAAAGTGGAACGTTTCTGGCAATGAAATAAGTCTGATCTTCTTCTTATTATTTTGAAATTCATTATATTTCATGAAAAGCAACGCTAATTTTCAATTTTTACAACTTTTAATAATTTTTAACCGTTGCAAATACTATTTCACATTTAAAAAAAACGAGAAGCTACATTGCATTCAAGGAAATACAAATGAATTTCACAATAAGACGAAGAGGAAGATCCAACATTTTTCATTCTCCGAAACGTTTACCATTTCAACAGACGTCATAATTCCCCTCTGGATTGTTTCAAATATAACGAAATGCTATACATATACTTCATTGTTTATGCGATAAGTCGAACACAGTGATGTATCAAATGAAATGTTTATCAATATATATTGTTGCGGTTGTACAATTGCAATCATTCTATCAGCGATGCAGTTCACAATGGCCCGGGTATTTGTTTGATCAAGCAATGACAATGTCAAGTTTGTTCTTGATATCGTTATCTATTGTAGTTAAATTACTCACAATCAAACTAACATATGATTCATATGATATGAACTGTAGTGATAATTCGTGTGCATATAGATTCGTACCGTTCAGTTCAGTTCAGTTCAGAACGATTCATTATCAACTTGACAGCGAACGCTAGACTACTTCGATTTATATTTTATGCTTTGAAATAAATACGGAAAAAACCACGATATGGTAATTCTTGCAAACTTCCCAGCAACGATCTGGGTTTCATTTTGCTAGTGCAATAGGTGTTAATCGAACCATTCTATTATATTTCACAGAAATTCTTCAATCTGCTGTTGTTCATTGCCTTTGTTTCGGCCACAAATGGCAGTCGAATATTGTTTGTGGCGCCGTTTACCGCAAAGAGTCATTGGTTGTATTTGCAGAGCTTTGTAAGAGCATTGCTCGAACGCGGCCATCATGTCACGTGCATCACAAGCAATCCACTTGGTGATCAAAACTATATTAACTACACAGAGGTCTTAATCGATCCACCACTAAACATGGAAACACTTCGTAAGATCAATAATGAGATTTTTTACACTTTCAGCGAAAACAAAATGGAAAAATTCACATTGGTTTTTTTCCTTCTACCTCCACTTAGTTTTTCTTTTTATTTTCATTATCATTTGCACACAGCTATAATCAGATTGTAGACAAATGTAGAGTGCCACTACAGAATGACAACGAAATTCATCAATTCATCGCGATATAACGTGAATCTCTATATACTATATATCTCAAGTGAATTGCTTACGCGCTACGCGCAAACGAAATCATACCTCGGCCAACTTCGATGTACCGAATATAGGTTTTCACGTTAAATATCGAATGCACTGTATATATGAATGTCCGAGAATGAAAACGCAACTTCTATTCACAACACATATAAGTGAAACAAAAATAAAAATTTTATTGAAATGAAACAACAAAATCATTTTTGTTGTTACACTTTGAAAAAATTCGATTTTGTTGTTTCATTTCAATAAATTTTTTATTTTTGTTTCACTTATATGTGTTGTGAATAGAAGTTGCGTTTTCATTCTCGGACATCCATATGATGCTTCGGCAACTCACGAATCACCAAAGCAAGTGAAATGCTAAATCCACGAGTGTGCCGACAAGTCCGCTGCTTCATTGAGTGTTGCTTCTTAAAAAAGTTTTAGTACAAAAACATGTTTTTTTTAATCAAATTCAGCCATATAGCAGAAATACATGGTTCCAAGTGTACTTTTAACACCAAATTTGAACTCAGCGCCTCAAATTACCTTAAGATTGACTATGCTGATGACAAAAATCGAATTATCTTAGAACTAACATTTTCTAGTAGTGTTCACGTATCGAACAGAATCACATTTTTCCACTTATTTTTCCACCAAAAGTGAATTTTTGTTCAAAGCAGCCATTTTCATGGTTTTTCAGGCCGCAGAATTCGAATCCACCCAAAAAGAAATGACAAAATTTTCAGTGGGAAAAATTGATATTTTTCTATAATAGTAGACAGATAATGGCCTTGATAGCTCTTATCAATTATCACTCTTATCTCCTAACTGATAAGAGATAAGTGATGACTGTCTGCGGCAAAATTGTAGGTTTCGGCGAGATCTAAAACTTTGCTGAAAAAATTCTGCTCCATTGCATATGGGGTACGAGTTATGGGAGAAAAACCGAAAAAACGCAAAAAAATCCGTATAAATGTATAGAAAAATCAGATGAAAAACCTCTAGACGAGGTTAAAATGGAGTGACGTTCCTGTGCGTGGATTTACCACTCAAAATGGCTGATATCATTTTGCGTGACGCCTTGACGCTGTATTATCTCTGGGTACGAAGTTCAAAAGAGTTTTTCGCATTCACTATTGTGAAAATTTATTTACAATAAGGAAAAATACTAGGGGAATTTAACTCTTACGAGTTCAGCATGTTTTCTGCCAGTTTGCTTGATTCGCGGAAGTTCGACGCGTTCGTTGTACGTACTAACGCGCACGGTCACAAGTTTACACAAGTTTGTTTATGATTTTGCGCGTTTTTCAAGTTGTTATTTGACAACTAAAACGCGTTTCAAACTAAAAATTGGTTGTTTACGTGTATAAAGATTTTTCACATCCTTTCCAAAAGTTCAAAGATTTATATAATTATAAAATGGACAAAGGAAATATTTTTAAAGAGCTGGAGAAAGTGTTGGAAAAGTTAATCCAGATATAATAAATGGAACGACTGATGTGTGCGCGTCGTCCAGCTTCAAGTTTGCACACGAACTCGCGCGCGTTCGCGCATGTTGTTTTAATACGGAACTTGTCAACTGAGTGGAATCATGCAAGTTCTCTGGTGAATGTAACAATTTCGTGCGCGTTTATATCATTTTTTTTACAAGTTTTCACGTAGTTAAATCCCTCTAGGAAAAATATCTTACGTCACGACTTTTGGACGGCGAAACGCTTGAAAGTTTGACTTGGAGACTAAATTCAAAAGTCGTGACGCAATATTTTTCCTTATTGTAAATAAATTTTCACAATAGTGAATGCGAAAAACACTTTTGAACTTCGTACTCAGAGATAATACAGCATCAAGGCGTCACTCAAAATGATATCAGTCATTTTGAGTGGTAAATCCACGCACAGGAGCGTCACTCCATTTCAACCTCGTCTAGAGGTTTTTCATCTGATATCACTACTTTTGTAAGGCAATTATTCTCGGAAAAAATACACTTTTGTCAGAAATATGTCTATTTTAAGGTCTTATCATTGGGAAATTGTAATTTTTTGGGTAAAACATTTGCATCCACATTTCACAAGTTTTGTAAATAGCAAATATCCACTTTCATTAAAAAAAAGTCCCATTTTCCCCTTATTGGACATTGTAAAATGTGATTAAATTTCAAAATATCCATTAAAAGAGTTTTGAAGTAATTTTAGACCCATTACTTCATTAAAACATATTAATTTCCAACCACCAAAGCTCTGGGAAATGCATTTTTCATGTATCTCACGAACAAAAGTTCAATTTCATACATTCAGATGCCAAAATGCCGATTTATGACCAAAATGACAACGAAATGGATATTCAAGTGTTCGTGGACTCCCATTATTTTCACGAAAAAATAGCAGTTTTCTAAGACCAAAACGACGTCAGATGTGTATTTCACGTGTTTTCCAAACAAAAATGTCATTTCCAGTGAAAATAGAGCAAGTTAAAAAATTCACTTCAATCCGACCTATTTTTCGACCATGAAATGCCCTCAAATCGCATTGTGACCACGATTAATCGATTGCTCGTCGAAAATTGAGCGGATATGGTCTTTCGTGAGCCTTTTTCAGCCAGTAGATGCGAATTTTTGGCAGCGATTTCATCGTAGAATGCGACTCTTCGTACAAATTCCGTTCATTGATGAATTGCCTATGCCCAGAACTTCGAAATACGAATTTTCCCGGATATATGGCATATGCCATTTTGTTGGTATGGTGGCCGGCTACAAACGCTCAGTTTTTGGTAAAACATTGTAGAGCTGATTTTTGAGAAATCGCGTTTGGTGTGAAATTTAAGGGGGTCGATTTTTCATAAAAATCGACTTTTTTCTTTTATATCACATAAACATTGGCATGTGTGTATGGAACTTTTTGAAGGTCTTCTCAAATGATAACGAGCTGACTTTGCCCGATGGGTGTCTGAGTGGATCTAGTGCGCGAAATAAATGCTTGAAAAAATCGTATACATGCAGGCTAGTGAAGCCATAGCCAGCTCTCCTGTAATGCAAATGTCAATCTGAGGACGGATTTCAACGTGCCCCGACACTAGCTACAACTAAGGCATATGCGCATCGGAAACCGGAGAAGGTACGGACGGACGAACGGACGAACGGACGAACGGACGAACGGACGAACGGACGCACAAATCAATACTCATAAAAAATCAAGATCAAACTGCCAATGCCCATAACTTTTTCGTTTTTGAACCAATCGGGCACTTAGACCGGCGTTGGAAAGGTGGCGAGGAGGAGCTTCTCTTGGACACCTCAGACCTGCCCCTGGGTACCCCCTTCGTAAGATATGGGTATAGATTTGAAAATTTATCGAAATTTTCCAACCGCTATATTTTTGCCTAGACCACACTTTAGGCATGGGGGATATGGTGTTTCCGACTATTTGGGCCAAGACCTTTCCAACGGTACCTAACATGCCGGGGCCCAAAAAGTGCCCTGAGAAAATAGCATACTAGTACTTACTGTATATATACTCGTGACGCAAAAACTGGCATTTTTGATATTTGGCTTGAAATGCACAGTCTATGGAGCGTCACTTGTCGGACTGTCGTCCTGCGTGATATCAATTTTTCCCACTGAAAATGTTGTCATTTCTTTTTGGGTGGATTCGAATTGTGCGTTCTAAAAAACCATAAAAATGGCTGCTTTGAACAAAAATTCACTTTTGGTGGAAAAATACGTGGAAAAATGTGATTTTTTTCGATACGTAAACACCACTAGAAAATTTTAGTTCTGAGATTATTCGATTTTTGTCATCAGCATAGTCAATCTTAAGGTAATTTGAGGCGCTGAGTTCAAATTTGGTGTTAAAAATACACTTGGAACCATGCATTTTTGCTATATGGCTGAATTTGTTTAAAAAAAACATGTTTTCCCTTATGAAAAATTTGTGACTGACTAGCCAGCCGCCTAATTTCGCACTTTTTGCCTGACTATCGTTGACTAAAAGTGATTATCTCGAACAAAATATTCGACTGTACTTAGTCAACTACAGTTATAGTCATCTAGTAGCCAAAAAGTCCGAAATTAGACGGCTGGCTGAAAGAATAACTAAAAGTGATTGTTTCTATACAACTTCATATTCAATCAACTTAGCCAGTTTTAGTTATTTGAAGCTACATACGAATGAGTGACTGCTAGTCACTTTATTTGCACACGGGTTTGTACTAAAACTTCTTTAAAAAGCAACATTAGCTCATTTTTGACAACGGATTCGTGTTTAGCGTCCCAAAAAAAACCAAAAATGATATGTCACCAGATTCGATTTGAATAACCAATTGGTTTTCTATCAATATATATATGTTGAAAAATAGGTCAAAAACATCCATTTTAAGTACGGCTCTATCGACCACTAGATTTTAAAAATTTTTTGATCTGAAAATGGGAATCAGCTAGTTTTGAGCCCAATTTAATTTTAAGCTTATACCTTACGATGATAAATCAATTTGGACCACCCTAACATACGATCAATACGAGATTATATCCATGTGACCATATGCTCAAAGAAAATCGAAGTCAATCGAAAAACACTTTTTCTCATCAAATTTGATTTGATTAATCAAATCAATAGCGACAATTTTTCTCAACAAAAAAATAATATTTCGATTTTCAAGTAAAAAAATGTTTTCTCCCATTTAAATTTCCAGGAACACAAGCGGATTTATTCCGAACGTCAGTAGATTTTTCAATAGCAAAAACGTGGAAAATCCCTCACTTTGGCACGACATCCGCCGAATATTCGTTGTCCAGTAGAAATGTGCAGCGATTTTTGCATGAAAAACATTTGCATTTTGATTTAGTGATAAATGAAGAATTTTTCCACGACGTCTATCTGATGTTTGGATACAAATACAAGGCTCCGACCGTAACAATCGGTAATTTATGATATCATATTGATTGAGATTACAAACACTCAAACTATTTGTTGTCATTGCAAACTATTGTTATCTTTATTAAGCCAATAATTAGTTAATATTTGTGTACAATTCCAGCTACCCTTGGCTGTGCAGACTTTGTTGATCGACAAATGGGTTTTTTAACGCCATGGTCACACGTACCCAATACACTGGTCACTTATAATGATGATATGTCATTTACGGAACGATGGTACAATTCAATGCTTTCGATATGTGACTGGATAGTACGACGATTCATTTATTTTCCACGACAAAATGAACTCGCACGAAAATTCTTCGGTCATCTCGGGGAAATTCCAACGGTTGAGGAGCTAACGCTAAATATTTCACTGGCTTTAATCAATACACATCACAGTGTACAAGCACCAAGACCATCAATGCCATCCATTGTTTATGTTGGTGGCGCGCACATTAAACCACCAAAACCATTACCAGCCGATTTACAACGATTCATCGACGAAGCACAGTATGGAGTCATCTACTTTAGCCTGGGAACCGTTTTAAAAACATCACAAATGCCTGCCGATAAATTACAGATTGTTTTAGGTAGGTCGAAAGAGATTTTAAATTTTAAAAACATTTGCACTGGATTTTAGTCAACTTGAAATTGAACTCTGATTTTTTTAGATTCTTTGAAAATGTTAAAGCAAAGAGTGATTTGGAAATATGAAGAAGACAAAGTGTTTATGGATCGACTCCCGTCCAATGTAATGATTCGCAAATGGTGCCCGCAAAGCGACATTCTAGCGCATAAAAATGTTCGTCTATTCATTTCACATGCGGGAATGTTTGGCACTTTTGAGGTACCATTAATTACCTATATAATTACACTCTTTGCAGAATTTTTTTTTAGGAAATCTCCATTCCGCTTTCTTTTCAAATTCATTTAAATTAATTCTTTTTTCATCTCGATTTCAAGGCAATTGCTCGTGGTGTACCGATTTTGATGATACCTTTTTTTGGTGATCAACATAGAAATGCAGTCCGTGCTGTTCGGGCTGGTTATGCGAAAATATTGGATTTTAACAACGTTTCCATCGATTTGTTCGTGAATGCGGTTAATGAAATGATGTCCAACGCTTCGTATGCGAATAAAATGAATGAAATTTCAAGTATCTACAGTGATAATGTGGTGCATCCCATGGACACAGCTATGTTTTGGATAGAATACATCATTCGTCATTCGGGTGCCAAACATCTGAAATCACATGCGGTCAAGATGTCATGGTTCTCCTACCTACTGCTCGATGTTCTTCTCGTGAATTTACTCATTTTTGCAACGTTTATATTCTTGCTATATTTAGCACTCCAGAAATGCCGACGAAAGCCGAAAAGCACTTTAAGAGATAAGAAAACGGAATAAAGAGTGAATTTTATTTGAAACAATTTTATTTCAGAGCTGTTTTACGTTGGAATAGCCATTAAAACAGTAATTTTATTGATAATCATCCAAAAATAACAACCAAAATGGACATTCACGCTATCTTAATAACACATCGGTCACACATTAGAAATGGTATGGATTTTGTGATAGAATACACAATTCTGTGTCATTCTACGGACTTATTGACCGATGTGTTACAATTGTACTCAATTTTAAACTTTAGCCGGTTAGCTTTGATGCTCCATGATGGATGATAATTTTTCAATGTGGAAGCATTGATTGAATTGAAACAGAGTGATATGACACTGCTACCCTATGCAAATTGAAGAATATTACTTACCTACCTATTTCAGCAACAACAAAATTGTAAAAAAAAAAACCAAAAAAACCATAATTCCATACCATCGAAAGGAAATTGAGCAAAATACCCACAGCCTGTATATCAATTTAGGTAACAATTTTATTTAAGAATCAGCGTTTACAGTAAATTTCTATAAAAATTCACTCGATAAAAGAATAAGAAATAGAATTTGGTTCTTGCATTCGATTAAAATGTTAACAGCTGTTCGGTTCAACGGTGATTTGATGTAGTTCAACGATCCCCTCAGAGTTTAGTAGTATCTTGAAAAGGAGAAGAAAAAAAAACAATTAAAATTTTACTGAAATAAGAAACAATATAAAAATACTTTTTTAAAAACTCACCAAACATTCTTCATTTTGGTCGGCTGTGGTTGCCGTTACTTCAGTGAATTTCACCTGTTTTGCTGGCACATTAACAATTTCATTGGTCACTAAATCGTAGATGCGCAATCGATTCTTGCGAAGTGTGATCAATTTCCTGGATTTTATTAATTGCACCAGGTATTGGCGTGACAGTGTCGAGAATGCATCCATTGAATTGTTAAGAATCGTTTGGCCGCTCATCAGTTGTGTGCTTCGAATGGACCGTTGACACAATTTTATGGGTACCGTTTCCAATGGCGCTTTATATTCCATATTTTCCAGGTGGTGCATTGCTTGCATCTCATCATAAATTTTTCGTTCACTCTGCACAAGACTTTGAATGGTGCATGATTTACCGAAACTAGGTCCAGTGTTGTTGGCAAAAAATCCAGTGCCGGCTTGAAGTGGAGCAGCCAATGCAACTTGAACAGGACCATTCGATGGTGACGCCATCGAATAATCGAATGTTTCTATCGGAAAGCTTACGTTCGAAGCTTTTCCATTGCCAGTGGGTGGTGTTAGGGATGAAATTGACGACGAACTCTCTTCGATGTCACTGTTTGCCTGCGAATCGTCTATTTGTTCAATATTTTGATCACAGCACAACGACTTAACCGCACCATTGTTCAACGCTATGATAACAATGTCATCATCGAACCCCGTTAGCGCCACCATACTCTCAACGCGTACACTTCGATTTGAATCGATTTGAATTCGACGAAACGATTCGTTTTTGAACGATTTTCGACCAAAAAGTAGGAAATTCTCATTGGTTGATATTAAAATGCCTTCACTCGTCAATTCAATGGCAGTGCACCGGAAATTGGTTAGGATTTTCTCTTCGATCGCATTCATTTCGTGCAGTTCCTGCAGTGCTGAGTCACTGAACAGTTCACTTTCGAAGTATGACCGCGTTTTGTCGAACGATTTTGACGTCGGTCGTGACATTTTCAATTGAACCATTTGCCGAACCGATGAACGCAAATCGATTGCTTTGTTTTGAATCAATTTCACTTTGCTCCATATCGACTGATGATCGATCCGTTTATTTGATAAATCCGTATATACACCCGTCGCATTACTCAATACCGTCCACAAAATTAACAAACCACACTCGTGCAAGGAACACATCTGAAAAATGAGACGTTGGAATTTGTCATCGTTATTTTACTCTATTTTGAACGTTTCATTTTGTTTTTTTTTCTTCTTCAGAATTTTTTTTTTCTGAATGAAATGAAGTAAAATCAATATCGAATCAAACAAAACTCAATCATGTGATTCGACAAGTACACGGCGATGGAAATTAAATAAGATCATCAAGTTTATTCGCACCTGTTTCGGATCGTATCCGTTGAGAAGTTCGGTGTCAGCAGCAATTGGCAATCCCCGTATCGATATGCATCGCCCAAAATCGGTGATTTTTTTATTATCAAAGGTTGGCGTTGTTATTTGCGATGGGACCAATCGTTTGATCTCGCCATCTATATTTGGATGCCAATATTTTGATTCGGAGTAATCCCACACCGCAATCGATCTGGAACGAAAGAAATGTTTTAGTTGGGAAAGTCGGCTTTGATGGAAAGAAAATATATGGAGAAATCATCAATCAATCGATTAAATAAAGCTAAAATGAACCCGTGAGCATAAAAACGACTTAAAAAAAATCGCCGATCAAAACGTAATATAGATTTGTCGGCGTAACATACCAGTGTACAATTTGTTCCGAATTGAACGAGTAACAAATAGGTGTTTCGCTTTGTTCGGCGACGTTTTTATAAGTCGTTTTTATGCTCACGAGTTTAAATGTGCTTCTCCCAAAAATCGGTAAAACTCTCACCCGTCATCGAGACCGGCGAAAACGATGTCCTTAATTTTCGGATGAATCTCGAGACACAACACTTTTGACCACACTGAAAGCAAGCAAACGGGTGAATGTAATGAAACCAAATTCCACATGGCGATCACATTCAATTCACTGTCACTATCACGATGCAGTGTGAATAAAAATCCCGGTAAAGCATCCGTTGCAAACGTTCGATGAATCCGCTTATTTACGCGATTGATATTTGGATTGAGTGTAAGAAAACCGTTGCTAATGGGAAGTACCGCTTCATTTAATTTTCCTGCCCTTTTTTGTGCATGCACATTTAAAATGCGTGACAATGTCATTTCACTCTCCAACAAAAACCGATTCAAATTTTCATAATCAATGTTGCGAATGGGTTTACCCGCTTTTTCATCTTTCGCGTCATCGGTGGCAATCGTTTTCACTGTCATATTTCGAATGAGTTTCAAACTGTGTTCACACGTTCTATCCAGATTTTCCGTAGATTTGTCAATGTTTTGTTCTGCAACTGAGCCACAACCAATTTTATAGTCATCGAAATCGAACCGACCGATGTGTTCCGTATAAAATGAAATCGGATACTGTGACCAAGTGGTTTGTATTGCGATCGCATCACTTTGGCATTCTTGATCGATTCGATCATTATGCGTTTGCACGGCCACCTGTGCCGTATTACTGTTGCCATAAATTTTCATAAACACTTCATACGGAATGGGTTTCGAGTCGAATAACACATAATTCATAATGTCTAATGTAATTTTGCTTAACAATTCTTCGCCACGTTTTGCTAATCGTGATTTATTCTTATTGATTTTGCCACTGTTCACTTTGTTTGCGGTCTCCAGACTGTTGACGCCTTCAGTTTCAATGTCCGAAATATTATCGAAAGTTTTGTTATTGTGATCCAGCGAGTTCATTTGGCCGTTTTGCGTTGGTATCAATGCATTTACTGTGTTGGAATAATTTTCAATGCCTGAATCAATTTGCATTTCGATCTGTTTCTCGCGGCGATTTATAGCAGCGGTAGGTTCGTTGCGATCACGCGCTCGACCCGATAATACCTTCAGTTCAAATGATCCCGAATCAAATTCACTATTTTCAATTGAATGGCCCGTTTCGAAGGGATGCCTCGACGCTGTGCTTACCACATTGTCATCGGTATCACTTTCACCACTTGAGATGGTGGTTTCCTCTTGAGACTCTTCGTCGTCGTCGTCGCTTTCATCAGTGTCATCTTCGTCGGGAATTTCACTTTCGAAATCCGATTCGTACGATTCAAAATCATCTTCATAATCCTCTGACTCATTATCGCTAGCATCGAGTCCATTGTCTGCAACTGGCTCCACGGATCGAATCGACTCATGCATTTTAACGGAGGATTTATTCGCATTCTTTGCACCATCCAAAATGACTTCAAATGAAACCGGCGGCTTGATTTCAACTGGACTACTTTCATTCACTAGCGATTGCGGTTCACTTCCATTTGATATCGACACTGAATTTGAGTTTGGATTTGGCTTCAGCAAAACAATTTCACTTTCTTCTAAAGTGCGTGTTCGTGTTCGACCTCTTTTCGGCAACGATTCAGACTGTTCTGGTTGTTGTCCATTCTGTGCTTCGGTCTGCTGCTTCGGTTGCTCTATTTGTTGTTGCTGCTGCTGCTGCTGCCTAATTCGCTCTTTCTCTTCCAATTTCTGCTGCTTTTCCCTACGCTCCCTCTGTTGCTTCTCTTCCAATTCTTTCTGCTGAATTTGTTGCTCCTTGTGCTTTTGTCGTTGTATTTGTTCATATTCCATTATCGTTTGTTCTGTGCGCTGCTGCTCAGATTCTGTTTCAACGGCCCCAATTTCACGTCGGACTGGAGGCGGTGATGAGACTGTCACATTGTGCACTTGATTCATTACATTCTTTGATGAAATGCTTGTTGAAGCATTCGCTTTGGCACCAATTGCATGTGACGCCTTCAATGGCACCGATTGACGTTTCGACACACTTTTCACCACCGACGATGACTCACCGGTTTTCACTTTTGATCGAGTTGCATCTTTTGGTTTTGAACTGACTTTATCTTTAGGACGTTTTTCTTCAGATTTTTCAGTCGATGACGACCGTTTCTCAATCGACATTGACCGTTTGTCGGTCGACGACGATCGTTTCTTATCGGATTTATCAACCGATGACACTTTTTGCACTGATTTACCATTTTGTACAGCCATCGACTTGGATTCCGTTCTTGATTTTGGTTTTGATTCAGTTTTTATTTTCGTTTCGGATCTAGTTTTCGTTTCGGTTCGTACTTTCGACTCTGTTTTTGTTTTTTTCTCCGGCCCCTTTTCACTTTTTCCATTTAAAGTGGATTTTGTTGACGGTTTTTTCTCGCTTTTCTTCTCATCGACTCCAATTTCTTTACCAATTTTTCGCTTTTCCTCTTTTAAACCACCATTAGCCGTAAGTTTTGTTGTGCTTTTCAATTCATCCTTGTGCACCTCTTTCAATACGGAATTTTGCTATAACGAAAAAATGGACATTTTTTAATGGTAAAAGAATATTCTTCAAAAACATGAATAATCAATCAGAGTTAAGAGTACGAAATAAAAGTTGGACACGGTGTGCGACAAAATTTCGACAACGAAAGACCAATTGAAATCGATTTGATTAACCTTGGGACAGTTTCATTTAATTGGCCACAATGATACGAAATCGATATAATTCGAAATGGGCACACACACACACACTGTTTGTTTTCAATGAATGAATGCGATTTATTAGTCAAGTAATCTGTTAATAATTTCACCGTTTTTTCTTTCAATTTCAATTACGTTTTACTTGATCGCAAATCGTACATCTTTTTTTTCATCGATGGTAAATCATTGGCCGATCAATTTTGCCGATCCATATATTGTGAAATATTCAGTAGCCATGAATCATTTCCACTCACCTTTGTTACCTTCGACATGGTTTTCACTGGTTCATTTACAACAATCGCATTTTACACCGTTAATTTGGATTAAATAGTATTTCATAGATTGAAAACTGCCATTTCTTTCGGCGATTTTCAATTTGGCGACCTAAAATTCGTCGGGCTTTTCGATAGACACTTGTTTTGAAATACACAAATAACAACGTAACTAGAACAACAATACTCGTACAGTTCACATGCACACTGAAAGTGGATCGATTTTTGTTTTGACGTCGAACTATTGTTAGGGTTACCGTAGTAAATATTCACAAACACATACGCGGCCGCATACAACGAATGGCATAGCACTTGTTATCGTCGTTACGATTTTTCTGTTTTATTACGCTTCGAATGCTAAGCGGACTCACGGGAAAAATACCGACAACCAAACAAGAGTGGAAAAACATTCGGTGGCCAGTGGATTCAAATACACGAATGGCATACGCTCAAAACAATAACCGTTCCACTACAATCACACTTGTTTTTGCCGCACATACATATGTCAACTGAAACTAAATAATTATCCATTTGAATGCAACGCAAACACGCGACCGCATCGAATTATCCACATATCCAGCCAACCGCCTACAACATGTTACACAGCATTTTCCATACAAACAACAATTTCTATAGAAGTATATTTCTAGTATACTTGATTTACGAATGTTTTTCTTTTCATATTGTTTGTTTTTTAGGCATTTATTCACATGATTTTTTTTCTTCCTAATTTGAACATTTTAAAGGGGATGTACTTCTTCTAGATACACACTTGAATCATCAATTTTACACACTTCTACGAAAGAAACATAAAAAGCTAAATCAAAACATGCTTAATTTGCGTAGGCGAATCCATGTTCTATGCGATGACAAGTACTGTTCATCACTATGTCAGAAACGGAAATTTTCAACAGTTGATTCATGCATGTGCCACAACTTGAGAATTCAATTCCAGATATTTTGTTTTTTATTGAGCAATTTCACCTATTTGTTTCCTCCTAAGAGAAGGACGTTCTGACAATTTCGCACCAGGGCGCAGAAGGCGCACGGCTCTGAATACCCGTTTACGTCATCAATTATTATTTATACTATTGTTATTTTCAGAGACAAAGTCACAATTGCCTTAACTTTTACCTACTCTCTTCCTTATTTGACAATCATTCTCTCTTCCTGAAAACTAAAGCACTGAAAAGAATCAATCCTGTAAAAACCTCAGAAGAGGAACAGACTTAACTTTAAAGCGAAATAATAAGACGGTTTGATTTCGAGTTTAAAACCATTTTCTTTTTATTTTAAGCATTTCGTTAAATGCTTTTCAAAGTGAAAAACCGCTATGGCATAATTCATGTGAGTCGCATGCTCATGCTCTCGATGATTCGAATGAGGCACATTTACGAATACATTCACCGAACAAGCTGGTGGCTTGCGCTTAAAGAATAAACATTTACATTTCGGGTGTTCCATCAAACCAGCTTTAAAATCGAAGTTTGAAGGTAACAGGTTTTTGTTTAGTGATTGGAAAATTAATTTTTTTTTAGAAATTTAAATAAACGCGCACAATTTTATTTTCATTTCTATCACTCGAGCGTATTGGGACTGAAGTTCGAATACAATTAATCAAGACTTTTATTAATTTGAAAAAATTGCTGATATGTTCATATTTGCATCGCCTAGAAATTATGCTGAATGGTACATTTCATTGATAAGAGTCATTCGTATGATGGTTAGTAGCTTAGTTTTGATTTTTCAAATGATACGCGTGATGACAAAATACGTTGTATTGTCACATACAATATTTTTGAACGAAGCATTTTTGTCATGAAGTCTTGTGTATTTTATCGTCACACATCGCACTGGAAAGTTTGCGAAATTTGACATATTGAACTCAGAACTCGTTGCATTACATTTTGACTACAGTTTGAAACAAACAAATCTAGGCATTTCCAATTAGAAATCTTATTAATATCAATTAAACAAAACCAGAATATTTTATTACTCGAAAGCCTTGATAATATATTGAGTTGAATGACAGCTAGCTCATTGGACAATAGGGTGACCAAAACATTTAAATAATTAAAATGAGCTTCTGTACATTCGCATGGCATGATATTCAAATCTTATCAAATAGCATATAGTTAGTGAGTAGTGTGGCTATGTATGTTCTGGCCCATGTCAATCAAAATGA